CACAGAAGGTTCGAACCCAGGACCTTCCGGTTACAAGGCGAGTTCGCATGCCATTCAGCCACTCGGACACGATTCCATGGCTCATGAATTCTAACTTGTACAAATTCGTGGTTTCGAGCGATCCCAGTTGGAAATCATGAGCCATTGAATCGTGTCCGAGTGGCTGAATGGCATGCGAGCTCGCCTTGTACCCGGAAGGTCCTGTGTTCGAACCCCCTGTGGTGGGTGCGTACTTCCGATGATTTTGAAACTAGGATGAAACAGCAGCTGTCCAGTGCTCCTTGCTGGTTTTCAATGGTTCTCTAACTGATATCAATCCGTGATCAACTCTTAAAAACATAACTAACCCTTACAAACCAAACTATAGAACATTATCATCAGTCATGGGGAATGCAAGAACACGCCGATGAAGAGTCTCATACAGAAGGAAATGTTCATTCTAGAAACCCCTGCTTTCCACCATGCACCAAAATAATCTTCAAAACTATGTTTCACTATGTATGCGTGTGTCTATGCTATGCCAATAGCAAGAGAAATGTTACAATGGGATTCAAATCACTACCAAATAAATTATGCTTCAGGGTGAATTATGAAAAATAAATTTTCACGTAAAATGAATGAAAAAGTAAAAGTATGTTGTGTCTTCTTTTTTAATTTCCAAAGGAAAGACAAATTATTCATTTCTTTTTAATTCAAAAGAATCAGCAAAAAAAACCACAACAACCCAAAATTCAATGTTAAATTAAAACAACTAGAAAGAATTGAAACATTGAACAGATAGATGTACTGAACAGTTTATGTATCTATAACATGAAGTTGAGAAATTAGGCAAAAAAATTGAGATGTAACGTAGGATTCTATTTTTGTTGTCTTGAATAGATATATATTCTTGAACATACACTTAATAATTTGAGAGTAGTATTTAAAAATTAGGAAAAATAATTTCACGGGATAAATATCATAATATATATTCAAGATACGTTACAGGATTTCATCATGAGCTGACATTGGTTAAAGAACCATTGGAAAACCAGCCATAGGAAGTACTAGATAACGGCTTCGTTAGCCTAATTTAGGACTCTCCGGCAGCATGTATCCACTGGGATTCGAACCCAAGATATTCTTGTTATAAGGCTGGCGAACGGGTAGACCATTCATCAGTCACTGTGATCCGATCCAATGGCCAGCCAGTCCATGAATTCCAACTTCTGCAAGTTCACAACATGGCACAACCAGTAGTAGTCAATGTGTGTGTGGATATTTTGATTTGACACTAGTAACTAGTGTGATGTGTCTGGTCCTTTGGTTGTTTGGTGCAGACTGAATTCCATCAGTCAGGTTGTAATGTGGCCACCATTCTAGGTAGCTCTCCACCACTATGCACATTGATTTGATGATATATTAGATAATTGGAGGCAATCGGCCAAAGGAAGCCTTGGACGCCACCTAGGTTTCATGCTAGTTGGCACATTAGTTACTAGCGCCAAATGAAAATATCCACTACAGTCCTACAGGAGGTCGACCGCGAGCCCGAATAGCTCAGTGGTAACGTCTCTGACTGCAGGCGGCACTGGGTGACGCGGGTTCTAATCTCAGGGGAAGGGACATGAGTTCTTTCAAGGCGGTTTCAGATACGCCTTGGTGACTGGTGAGTGGCAACTAGTACGAAGCTTAGTTCCAAGGCTTCGTGCCGATTACCTCTAAAAATCTAATATCATACGTGTGTCGAATTGATTAGACATTTGATTAAAACCCAATATGGGAAAACTTACATTCAGAAATAATAATATTAGTGTTACTGATCAATTACAATCAGATGGGAAATAAGACGAGTGGTGTCTTTATAGTCAAAATAAGTAACTTGTTAGAATGTTATGATGCGCGTGAATTGAATTGAAATAGAATTTTGAGGTTATTTATTATCCTCCTCTGATTTGAATGACTGATGGTAAAAATATCTCTCATATTTCTGGTGTGTTATGCAAAGACTTTACAACAGGCCACTGCAGACGTCCATCAACAGCTGTCTTCTCTCTGACTACCGAAAATCAGATGGCCAGGAAGGATAAGAAACAAGAAAGTTTGACAACTAACCAAAACACTGAGGAATGAAAGAAAGATAGACTGGGTATGTGTTGAGGGTATCACATATATTAGGCACACCCTCCAATGGTACTCCAATGAAAAACAATGAGTTGTGCCTGGGCCCAAGGGTGACATAAGGTATATTAGGTGAGAAGAGGATAAAACCTTATTATCTGTCAGCCAACCAGCTAAAAAAGACTGCAGAGGAGAGAGGAGAGTGTTGATTTGCTACTGAAGCTCTGCGCTCCAACTGGAATCCAAGAAAATATTAGACTCAGCCGGTTCTCAAATGTTTTCAAACTTTTAAATCAAATATTTCCTAAGTATGATGATAATTTTCCTCTGACTGGGTGGCATTTTTAACTTCATTCAACATTTTCAACCTTCAGTGATACTTACCGTGAACATCACATGACCCTGTAGACTAATTTTTTAGGCAGGTTCATATATAACGACCAAATCCGATGTCTTGCGGTCTGAACGTAGGGAACTAGTCAGTCCGTTCTACTGTATAGCTCACTGAAACTCTCTTGAGTCATTCACAGTCATAAAATGTCTCGACAACGAATTTAAAAAGAAAACTATTTGAAACACAATCCACGGTTATTACGAGTTGATCGCGGATTGATATCAGTTAGAGAACCATTAAAAACCAGCAAGGAGCACTGGACAGCTGCTGTTTCATCCTAGTTTCAAAATCATCGGAAGTACGCACTCACCACAGGGGGTTCAAACACAGGACCTTCCGGGTACAAGGCGAGCTCGTATACCATTCAGCCACTGCGACCCGATTCCATGGCTCATGAATTCTAACTTGTACCAATTCGTGGTTTCGAGCGATCCCAGTTGGAAATCATGACCCACTGAATCGTGTCCGAGTGGCTGAATGGTATACGAGCTCGCCTTGTACCCGGAAGGTCCTGTGTTCGAACCCCCTGTGGTGAGTGCCTACTTCCGATTATTTTGAAACTAGGATGAAACAGAAGCTGTCCAGTGCTCCTTGCTGGTTTTCAATGGTTCTTTAACTGATATAAATTCGTGATCAACTCGTAAGAACATAACTAACCCTCTCAAACCATAGAATGCAATCCATGGTACTATTTTACAATGATAGCATACCAAATGGTCTAAAACCACTTCAACAGTGCCGTTTGTCAGCTAAAAACGGTCAGATTCGTTCTCCACAATAAAACAAGTACCGTAGAATAAAAATGTTTAGCTAAATTTAGCTGTAAGAAGTAGCTGAGAATCAAGTAGAATTTTCCCCAACAAGGTGGGATCAAAACACTCTGCCCACAAGAATTACACACCAAACAATTTCCACAATCAGACCAAGGTCAGAATGACCTTGATTTGTTCAAACGAAACCATCATCAACATCATGACACAACTATGAATGTAGGCAATAAAATTAGAGATTAAACAAGGATAAAGACGTAAATAAAGGATTAAGTCAACATAGAATATACAAATGTCAAAAATATGATGTGTACAGTCTAGGAGGAAAGAGGAAAGCAATTGAAAAGTCAGCTGAAACACGCAAGCAATTATCAGCACCGTAATTCTTAGTTCTTATTTCTCAAGAAAGAAAGCAGTACACTGTATGTTAGTCAGGGAAAGTCGTCCACTTCATTGCCTACTGAGGCTGGCGTCTGTCAAGGTGGTGTCCCTTCTCCTTTTCTGTTTTCTTTCTTCTTGCATGACTTACCTCACTCTGATGAAATGAACTTTCAAGTGTTGGTTTGTAGGGATTTGATTGGTTTCAGGATTTCATCATGAGCTGACATTAGTTAGAGAAACATTGGAAAACCTGCCAGAGAGTACTGGACAGCTGTTTCGTCCTAGTTTGGGACTCTCCGGCAGTGCGCACCCACCGGGATTCGAACCCAGGACCTTCTGGTTATAAGGCGAGCCCGTAGACCATTAGGCCACTGGGACCCGATCCAATGGTCCTTGAATTCTAAATTCTGCCAATTCACGACATAGTGCGACCGCTAGCCAATGTCTTCGGCGAGTATTTGTCCTCACACCCGACCAGCTGCACCCTACTGGTCACGAATTCCCACTGGAACCCAGGTAGCTACCTACCTGAATAGGGCCAGTCACCAGTGAGCATCTCATTGGTATTCAAGTGTTGGATTGGGTCCCAGTGGCTTAATGGTATACGAGCTAGCTCTCCTTGTAATCAGAAGGTCCTGCGTTCAAACCCCGCTGGGTGCGTCCTGCTCAAGAGTCCCAAACTAGGACGAAACAGCTGTCCATTACTCCCAGGTTTTCCAATAGTTCTCTAACTAATATCAGCTCATGATGAAATCCTGAAATGAACTTTGTCAAGTATGCTGACGATCTAACTATTTCAATGTCTGTTAAGTCCCAGCCTGACTGTAATAAGACGAACAGATTTCTGTCACGAGTCTAATGGTCTTAAAGTGAATCCTTCCAAATGTGCCACTGTCAGTTTCCCATGCAAATGAAAGTTAAATGAAGCTGTTGGTTCCTATGACCCTCGCAAAATTGATGATACTGATATAGAAACCAAGTCTGAAGTTAAGTACCTTGGATTAATTCTTTCTTCTGACCTATCCTGGTCTTCCCTTGTCTAAACGATTTCTAAAAGAATATTTCGTCTGACTTTTTACATTAAGAAGTTAAGGCACTCAGGCACAACTCAACTACACCTTTTACAGTTTGTCAACTCGTGTATTTTACCTATTCTTCTTTACTGTTCATCCTTATTCTTTCCTGGATTGCTTTAAAAAGACTATGTCATAATTCGTAGAAACCCATTGGGCCATATCGTTGACATTGTCACTGATAGGCTCAGTGACTCAAATGAGCAACTTTTCGAGAAAGTAGTTGAAATTATGAAGCCACTAGACCTTTCTGTGGTTGACTATGAAGAGCTTTGTGAGAGAATGAATGAAGCTATGCGTTTAGGGTTACAGAAGAGCACTAGTGAAAAATCATCAATTAAAATGTTCCCATCTTATGTTACACGAACACGGAATGGCACAGAGACTGGAAATTATCTGGCACTAGATCTTGGAGGAACAAATTATCGTGTACTTGCAGTAACACTTGAAGGTAAAGGAAAACCACTAAGAATTCAGGAAAGAACTTACTGTGTTCCGTCAGAAAAGATGTCAGGCTCAGGGGAAGATCTTTTCAAATATATCTCTGAGACATTGGCTGATTTCCTAGACAATAATGGAATGAGACATAATAAAATTTGAACTTGGATTCACATTCTCTTTCCCATGTGTACAGAAAGGTCTCACTCATGCCACTTTATTAAGATGGACAAAAGGCTTCAGTGCAAGTGGTGTAGAAGGTCACAATGTTGCTGAACTACTTCAAGTTGCTCTTGATCAATTGGGCCTAAACGTGAAATGTGTTGCCGTTGTAAACGATACAATTGGTACTCTGGCTTCATGTGCTCTTGAGAATCCAAAATGTGCTGTAGGATTAATAGCAGGAACTGGTACAAAAGTTGCCTATATTGAAGATGCTTCAAAAGTTGAATTAATGACTGGTGTAAAAGAACCTGAAGTTGTTATCAATACAGAATACGGTGCATTCGGTCAAAAAGGTGAATTAAACTGTTGGAGAACACAATTTGATAAGTGTATGGATGCTGAAAGTCTTCATCCTGGAAAACAATTATATGAAAAAATGGTATCTGGAATATATCTTGGAGAGCTGGTCCGTCATATTCTTGTTTATTTAGTTGAACAAAATATTCTATTCCGTGGAAAATTACCCGAACGCTAACAAGTACGAAATGCTCTGTTAACTAGATATTTAACAGATGTCGAAAGAGATCCTCCTCATCTTTTATACAACACCTATTATATGCTTACTGAAGATTTATCAGTGCCTATTGATGAACCAATTGATAATCGTATTGTACGATATGTTTGTGAAATGGTTGGTGTTGTCATGCAACAAATTTGCTAGAGGAATTTCCTCAGACTGTGAGCACCCACTACAGTACCCGCAGCTCCAACCTTGTATCTCCTCAGGTAAAACAAGAAGTCTTTTCAGGAAACTTTATGCACGTACGTCTAAGTATAAAAGTTCCACTACACTATATTTGTCTGCACGTTCTTTATTTGATGACGAACTAACTAACCTACTTTGCACTACTAAATAAACCAATTTCCTCCACCCTAACAGTATTAACCTTTATTGTTATTGTACTTCTTATGTTTATAATCCTTTCAATTCTTTTGTTTTTATTTGTTTATTTTTTTATAAGTGTGAACATCATTTAGGCTCTGTTATAACTTTTAAATTTGTATTTCCCCTCACCATTCTGTATCAACACAACATTAGATTCAATACCCTATGGTACTCAACTGAATCGACAATACTGTTTGAAACAAACTCACCGTTATTATTCTTATTAATATTTAATGATCTCAATTCGTGCTTAAAATATTTTTGACTTTATATCGTAAAAGTGGACAAATTCCTCTGATTAACTTTTGTTTTAATTTCTAATTTTATTTATATTTTAAGTGTAAATCAGATGCAATATTAAGGACAAATGCTGAAAATTCCATTCTGTATTATACGTACTGTCTTCTTTTTTTGAATAAAGTAGATTATTATTATGAATAATTATACGGTTCATGAAGGATTTCCAAACAATTATTCCTTTACCGCATTCTACACGGAAACTTCAAGAATAATGTAAGAACCAAATTTATTTAAATATCTGAAGTCATGTCGATTCATATTACCAAAGATTTAACTTCGCCTACAAAAAAAAATTTCTCCAGTCATTAACCTAAAATGAAGCCTACTTCCTTAAACTGTTAACCCATATTTCATCTTTTTGCGCTTGAAATTCTCTACTCCATAGCAGAACAATCTTCAGCCGAGCTTCTTTTGATTTTAACTGAAATGCTTAATTCTAAGGAGGGGACATCTGAGGCCCTACGTGGGACTCTCAATAAAGCAAGAATTAGGGTGGTATTCAAACCTAAAAACTCACTCAGATATGTCAAGCTCTGAAGGCTAAAAGACCCGGTGGACCCAAGGAAACAAACTAATTTAATTTACAAAATACCCTGCAATGACTATGAGTGAAGTCAACTACATAGGTCAAAGTACTAGATCGGGTGGTGGTATTCAGATTGTCGGAAAACAAGAATTCAGCTGAGGTAAGAATGGTTGACCTCGAGAAGATAACGAATTTAGAAAAAAGCTCGGCAATTGTGGTGCATGCATTAACACACAATCACACATTAGGGTGGGAGGCAGAGGGTTTAAGTTCTAACAGGTATTATTGGTGGGTGGAAATAGAAATTGACTACTGAATCCTGCTTGGTTCATCGAGTGAATCTACACCCAACACATGCAGCAGAAATGACTCCATGCAAATACCAGAGATATGTATGGAAGATATTATTACCACCAGTCAGTCAAAACAGAGGAGGATAATAAATAACCTCAAAATTCTATTTCAATTCAATTCACGTACATCAAAACATTCTAACAAGTTACTTATTATGACTATAAAGACACCACTCGTCTTATTTCCCATCTGATTGTAATTGATCAGTAACACTAATATTATTATTTCTGAATGTACATTATCTCAGATTGATTTGATTCAACTGTCTAGTGAATTTCACTCATGTATATAAATGAAGTGAAAAGGTTTGTGTGAATAACTTGATATGATTAAGAGCGGTAATAATTTGTGCTCGAAACGCGGTCATCAGTCAATATTATTGTAAAAGAACACTTTGTGATTTATCAAAATAAAATCTTATCTATAATGGAGGGTGCTCTTAATCCTATCATAACTATTTTACGTTACCCAATTTACTTGCTGAATTTCGCTACATTCTCTATCTAATGATTACTCTTTGTATGACGTAATTTCTTCTGAATTTGTTGACGGTTTATCTGAAAGTGAAAAATTCTGATGATACAAACAGCTTGAGAATGATCTTGCTTAAAAACATCAACTCTTTAATCAATACAATGACATTTACAGTAAAGCTACATGGAGCTCAGTGATGATAACCGTGAGATGACGTATTTCCTCACAGAATCTGCAAACAGTTCGTGTGTGAGAAAATGTAAGTGTTTATTGTACACGCAAAGGAAATGAATTCGCTGAAAAGCCTCTTCACTTAAGTGCATGCTTTGTTTTCGTTAATGTCTACATGGATAGTGTCCATGAAATGTTTATTTACCACTAGGGTACTGGATAACTACTTCGTCCCTGCTTGTGGATATTCAGAAACGTGTAACAATTGAGGTTTGAACCCACAACCTTGCAGTTACGAGGTGAGCTCGTAGAACATTCATCCACCGGGATCTGACTCAATCCATTCACTTCCAAATTCTGTTCATTCGCAGTAAATATATATATATATATATATATTTTGTGCACTTGCCAGTCGCTGTTCTCTTACGTGATTTGGTGGACCCCTCTGACTAATGTCAGCTAGGATCCTATTGGCTGGATATTCTACAAGCTTGAATTGTAACCGTGATGGCCGGAATTCAAACCCCGTTGGACTCATACTGTCGAAGACTTTTAACCGAAGGCTAAACAACTGTCCAGTACCCCTCGTTTCTCTAGTCGTCTTCCATCAAACATGTCACCATGGAAACCAGTACAAAACAACACTTGACCACTGTTCACTAAGCAATAAGACTTTATGATATCATATTGTGGTGACAGCAGGCTGCCAGCCAAATTGTTAGACAATAATTTACGTCAATGTTTATGTTGCAAATATTGGTTGTGAGAAAATATAAACAAGACTGATTCAACAATCAATCACAGCAGATTTTGCGTAGGCAGATACAGCTGACATATAGATGATCTGACATTCAAGAAACAGTCACAAAGAGATGCAAGGTCAACTTTCTGTGCGAAACAACCAATCAAAAGACTGTGTTTGTTTGCTTGAATAAGCTATAATAATGTACATGAAAATAGATAAATACGTGTTAATTCCCTTAATAAAAAAGATGTGTTACTTGACCTTTGTCTTCTGTTGTTACAATATAATTACAAGGTAGATAAATTTAATTACAAATCTATACTATCTAAAGAATTTTTGAAATAAAGATGGCTCTAAAAAATTACATACAATGATTCCCTTTTATAAATTTGAATAAAGAGAGAAGAAACATTGGCGGAGAATAATCTGGATCCATTTTATTTCGTTGGTTCTCATCATCAGCTGCGTACACCTGGATTCTTTAATAAAATCAAAATAAAAAGTGTACAATTTTAACAAACTTCTATCCATTAGCAAGCATATTGTCACGGCATCATAGTGAAATAAGGCGTTGTGATTTAAAAGGTGTCTAAAGTGTTACGACGTATATATATATATATCTTGTTAGAGAGAAGTTTGTTGAAGAAAATTAATTAACAGTTGTGTTGTTGGGGTGGTAACAAACGAAAATTAGTAATAGTTACGTAATTAGATGAGAGAAGATCAAAATTTTACAATTTCGGTGCACATGAGGTCAGATAAGAAGTTGATGATGTTTTACAGTGAGCAGAACGCAGAAGATCAAGAAAAATTACCTCTTAAGGAAGTCAAGCGAAAAATAAAGGGTGGCTAGGGAAAAACAAAGGGTTACTTAAAAGTGAATCCAACAATGGATTCCTTTTGGATACATAAATCAAGCTTCAATCATTTTATTACTATAGCTTCAGCAAACTTGAGAACACTTGGTGTTATTTGTCTGTTCATTATTATTTTGAATGGTTCCAGCACATCTATTCGGTGTCCTGTGTCAATCAGGTGTTTGGCGGCGATTGAAGAGCTTAAACAATTCGGTCCCTTTAACCATAAGCGCCTTGGTATATGTTCGCAGAATCTCACGTAGGCCCTCCTAGAAAATTACTTCTTTCTATTTCTTAACTTGTTAAAAATGCCCACCTTCACATCATCTGGTATGATACGTAGCCTAATAACGTTATACCTCATTTGGTATTCGTCTACAACTCACCGCTGGAATCCCGACATTCACTTAAAGGCGACATAGATGAAGGAAGAATATGCATTTAAAAAAGTCAACCAACAATGACTTTACTGTTATTCCCTAGTGTTGCAAGAGGGACATATCACCTCAAAAGCATATATACATTTTAATCTGCTCTCTCAAGCTTTTTTAGCTAGCTCGAAGATCACTAATAGCCTTTGATTACCTTCTGGTATGATCTCTTGAGTGTAACCTTCAGGCCAACGGTGAACAACATTGTTTTCCATTCATGTTCCATCTGAAGGTGCTCCTGGTATATGATATCACTCGACAGTCTCCTCGGCGTACGTCTAATGATTAATAAGAAACAAAAGTTTCCCCCTTTGGGTATGATAAAGTCTTATCGACCAGATTAGCGGGTGACATTTTTTCACCTTTATACAGATATCTACTGCAGCAAAACAAGAAGCACTTCTTCAACATTAATGAGGACGAAGTAATCTAGAATCTACTTCAACATTATGGGGTGTGGTAACGCAAAAATCTTTATCAGCCTCATTCAATGGCTGGCTATTTGGCACTGAATGCTCCAGGATATCGAAAAAGGGAAAATTCAATGAGGCATTTGACGTGAAGAAAGGAGTAGGATAAATTATAATTTCCTTTAATTACCAGAGGACTATAGGGCTTCAGACGTGCGTCTCCATCAAATTCAGTTCTCAGCTGGAGTTTTCACCTGGCTACAAGTCTGCAACCCACATGCTTTCATCTCCTCTTCCCATGACCTCCTCCAAGGCACTCTTGCACTGACGACCAACTCGCCGCTTCCCGTCTAGGTTCCACTCGCGAGCTTGTCTAGTGATATCACTTGATGGTTTGTTTCTCCATTTCTTCCTGCCTATTTGTTGC